TACGTTAAAACGATATCGGTGCATTCCAGATTTGAAAACAAAGCCATTTCAACACATTTCGTCTATAAATTAGAAGTCTGTGCCAAACAAACTTTAAAGAGACAACGTTTAATAAAAACATTGACATAAAAATGATTGTCAGTGCCAAAACGGTTGCTACCGTACCTTCTTCATTGTTGTAGTGTTGCTATTATTTAAGTTATTATTTAAGGTGAACATAGACGGCTCGTGAATATATGGGTGGGAAAATTCGAAATTCGACTTGAGTTTTCGAAAAAATGCTAGATAAAAAAGTTGTTCCGTTTCACGGGTTCTGCTACTGGTTAAAATTAATGTACTTATTTCTGAGACACCCTGTATAACATGTGGCATGATGATATATAGACAAAACTGCACACTCATTTTTTGTAAAAGTTTTTGGTGAAGAATATTCAAACTTATCTCTAAAATTGTTAATTTTTAATTGCTTTGCATTTCTTAGAGTAAAATTTCTATTCGTTGGAACAATAAAAAATTTGTTCATCTGTTTGTTGGATAGTTTTAACTTAACACACAAGAAGTGTTGTTCTTTATAGCTCTTTTTGTTTTGGTTTCATTTTCTTTTATTTGATTGAGATGTGTGATTTTCTGCATAACCATTGTAATGATGTTCAGAAATTTTCAGCGTTATACCCTTATTATTTTTCCAAGCGTCTATTGCCATTTTTTCTTGATTTTCAGTTAATTTTATTTCCATCTAATTGATTTTTTTTGCCTCTACCCTAATTCATTAATAAATATTTTTTACACCAATTTTTTTTTTAAATCGTTATCTACATGAGTTTGTATAGCATGCCTCCTACCTTATAAAAATCGGACAAAATCATTGAAATATCTGTTTTTTAAATATACCTTTAAAATTAGACCAAAATCTTTGAAAAATGTTAATTTTAAAATATACCTTAAAAACAGGACAAAACGACGAATTTTAACTGTTTTTAAAAGGTGAATTCGCTTCGCTCATGAGGAATTATTTGAATTTGTTTGGACGAAACTGTATTCAGGTTTGATAAAACTGGGTGGATATACAGTGGCGACCACAGAGCGACCAAAATAAAGGAGGACACCTCTTCAAAGGATTTTTTTCAATAGATTTAGTTGTGTAAACTGGAGTCAGTTGAAAAGGTAGCCATTAACAATGTTACAAAATTACAAAAATTGCAGACGCGTTTCACCCTTAACGTTGGCATTATCTAGTCTAATTGGCCATTCCCGTCGACAATTTGTGTATTTTTGTATTGTCGGTATTACAGGGATGATAAACGTTTATATTGTTATTGTATACCGAGCGATCAAAGAAGATTCCTTATCTATTGTAAAAAGCGTATTATTTTCTTAGAAAAAAATATGTGACCTCTTCTTAGATTTATCTGTTCCAGTATTTTTGTGTAATTATTAGTTTTTAAATTATTGAATATATCCCAAAAATAATTTTGTATAAAGTAACCTCATTTGACATAACCTGTTAAAACTTTTATGACTTAACCGGTTTAAGCCAAACCACCCTTATAAGTCAAACTGGCTATTGTATTACTTAACTCAGTTCACAGCTACATGATGCCAACAATGGACAGTAATAATCTTGCGGTTCGGGTCCACAAAGCTTACAATAGCTAGTTTGACTTATAAGGCTGCTTTGGCTTAAGCCGCTTAAGTCATAAAAGTTTTAACAGGTGTATGTCAAATGAGGTTTGTTTTTTGTACTAATGTAAAATAGTCCCGCTGCATCATGCTTCTTCTGAAGACCGTCTTTTATCTCGTACTTTTTTGTGAACTGTAAATGAAACTAAATTAACATTATCTATCTAGGTATTACTAATGCTAAATACAATTAATATATACTCCTAGCCATTTCATGCTACATAAATTTAAAAAAATGTTTATTTTCAAAATCATTGGCTTAATAACATAGTTTTTACGCTGAATGTGAAGATCTTAAATTTGAAGTAGATTAAAATGTCCAAATTTTAGCTACTTTATACACGTAGTAAATAGGTCGATTTAATTGATGTAATTTATTTATTTATTATTAAAAAATGAAAAGTTAAAAACACAACTTTTTGCATGTTTTTTTTTAATAATCCGACTTGAGTAATTAATTAGGGCCAAAAGCAGATATAGTTACTTAACATACTGATTATAAGTATTTGCTTTACTTAACTCTTGGTCGCAAAACAATTAGATACTTTTTGTTACATGAGCATAGAGGCATTAGAAAATTCATTTAAAATTTAAATCTAGACAACACAAGTAATAATTAGTTGCTAATCTACTTTATATAATAACTCTTAACCTAAACGTGTTTACTTATTCTTAATTGATAGAAACTCCATAGACAGCACTTTATGAGCTGAAATTTAGGACTGTATTGCACTTATTGCATGATTTGTGTTCATAATTTCTGTTTGAATAATAATGTCTTGTCTTACTGTCTAACCATTAAAATTAACATTAATTCTTGTTAACTCCTAACAACTAAAACGACTTCTTCCGATATGTTTGAGCCTCATTGTCGATCGTCTCTTTAATGTTAATTTCGATGGTTGCGATGATGAAATTTCATAATTAACTTTGTGTTGTTACCTAGCATCAAAAAATTCCTTAGAGACCTGGCATGTACTTTCCCCTCTTGTGTGGTCGGTTGTTGCATTGGCAACCAGCATGATCGTGTTGGCACTGCTCGCACAGTACTGACTGACTCACGGTATGCAAAAATTGCATTTATTATCAACACACTACTGCAGTACACACTTTCATGTTCATTACATTTAAATTATATAGCGCGGTGTTACGTCAACATAAACTATTTCACCAAAACACTTTTGAGTTTGGAAAAAATGCCGAATCTTAACGGCATAGAAGACATGTCTGGTAGGTATAGAAAAAAGTTCGAAATCTAAATTTAAAAAAATCTGTCATTTGGGTCAATGACGACTATTAAAATGAGGCATGATTGTTAAAACTTACACTTACAGACCTGCTTGCATTTAACATTTCAAGTCTCTGTATGCAAAGAACTGCTTGAAATCGCTTTTCAACTACATCCACTTTGTGAAACGTATGTTTAATGCTTGCAGCTTTTCAAGCTTGTGATACTGCTTTGTTCATTGCCCTGTTTTAGTTCTTTTCGTACAGACTTCCGCATGACGACCAATAATATTTTCTGACACATTGACACAGTATCGATTTTTTTTTTAACAATTTATGGGTTACGGTCCTTAGCATTAACATTTCAGTCTAACTGGATGCAACTATACATTTACTGATATAGTTTTCTGAATTATGTATCCACCGTACAATATATACGTACGTACTCAACGAATTAGGTAAGAAAACAGTTTTTAATAGATGTAACTATTTTAGACAACAGAAATTTTTAAAAGTAGTCTGAAGGTTTGTTTGTTTTTTTTTTCACGTAATAACATAAACGTAATTTTGAATTTAACACTAAAGTGAAGTTATTATCAAACATTTTTAACTCAAAATTAATTGACACAGGTAAGATGGTCATAAAAATACGTATGATAACAGTTAAAATACAAAATGTTTTTTTTATGTCCACCATTAAACATAGATGTTTTAGTTGTGTTTCACTGATTGATCAAATCTTATAAATTATTATTTTAGAGTTACTGCTTTAAATAGCTAAAATTTTACTGTTTGAGATTCATGTTAGAAAATTAACGAAACTTTAAAAACATTTTTTCAGTAACCATTTCTGTAGTTCTCGATTTATCAAGATGTTATTCCAAAAGACTAGTCAAAAATATATTAGTTCTAAGTGGACGTTATTGACTATTTTCTTTTTTTCGAGAGCGTATAATTATTATTAATAGTAATACGAAATAATACACTTACTTGCTGTATGAAATTAAGAATTGTATGAGTTATTTTACAAAAATATGTCCACATGTGTAGAACATAGCGATAGCTACATTACTTGTTTGTTTTAATTAATGATGTCGTATTTTTTTATGAAGTGAAAAATAGAATAATCCAGCTTATTCTTGTCATAAAAATCGATCAACTCTATCGTTTTTATTTTATTATATGACGTATGTACCTACGTTTATGCATCTACCCCATATGAAATTTAAATCTGTTGTCTTAAGTGTTGTGTTTTTTATTTAAAGTTTATTTTATTTATATATATTTAGCGGTGGATATATGTTATATTTATTTAAATTACGTCTATAAGTTGTAACCTCAAAGTATTATCAAACTTCCCTATTGAATTTATCTCATGTATCTATAAAATGGAAAAAATGGCTTCTTTAACCTAATTTACTGACAATTTGTTAAGTAGACCCTAAGCGCACTCCAACTTAACATACATTAACAAATTAAAATCAGTTGACTAAAGTCAGTCACTTCATGTAATAGCTGTAGCAGTAATTTTTCTTGAGAAAAATTTCTTCAGGGGTTATGAAGTTCAGAATAACGTACCAATGAAAATTATGTTAATGTAGTCAACAACTGAAATAATTATTTTCTGAAATCCACAAATGAAAATTCCATTTCTAAACAAAATAATTTAAGAATGCAGCATTTGCTGCTTCAAAAGTGAATTACATCAAGATCATTTTCGGTCGCACTGTAAGTACGTTTTTAATTCAGGGTAGAAACTAATTAATGTCTGTGAAGACGAATAAAGAGTTAAGTATTTAGAATTTCTGTTAAAATTAAACGTACAATGTAGTTGATACCTAGCCATCTTCACTTTATAATCAATTTAAAAATAACAACGTATGTAGTACTGTACTGGACGTTTACACGTTTTTAACATATGTATGAAGTTTTCCAAGATTTTCCTTCTCGCGTCTGATGTGGCACAGTTTGATAATACTTTTGCAACTTTTACATTTACATCCCATAAAACGATCCATAAATTGGTGAAGTAAATCCACATGTGTGTTCACTTTTATATATAATTAATTTAATTTCTGTTATGATTGTCGCAGAGGATCTGTACCAGCAAGACCAGCCTCATTATACGGAAACAATAACAGAAGAGGTTGATCCGGTAACTGGTGCTAAGTGAGTAGGTCCTTTTTAATGTGATACTAGTGGCTATTTTTTCCGTATTTGTAGGATCACACGAACCATTAGGACGGTCACCCAAACTGTTTCATCTCCTGTAGGAAGAAGCGAAGAAGAAATGCGACAAAGTATGCAAAATGTTTTAGATCAGTTTATGACAGAAGAAAGAAACCCTCATTAGATAAAAATTTCGTGAATAGCGAGCTTGCGGTACGTTCACACTCCTGATACTTAAAATTGACAGGAAAAAAATTTACTCATATTATTTGACCAGTGTTTATTTTATTTTTATACTGTAACTGACATGATATTTTTATTGATCTGTTTATCTTATTATGTAAAAGTGATTCCATTGTTGTAAGTTTTATCATTTAAAATGACCAATTTTAGAATTGTGAGTTCATTAGAAATTAGGAAATAAGTTACGAATCTTGCGAAAAAATTAAAGTGTTCTAAACATTAAAATTTTCAAATTTAAAAGTTATATATAAAATAAAATAATATATTGCGCATTTCTGCTTTAAGTAGTTTTAAAACAGTTAAATTCCAGTTATGTACATTATTTTTAGCCTTTGAACTAGTGCCTAGATTTGTGAAACTTTTACTTGAAAAATTAGGTTATTGTTTCAGGTAAAAATTTTGCCAATCATGTTTCCGTTATATTATTAATAGCTGAGCTGTTATCTCGAAGGTACTAAGCATTTCCGCCACAGTTGATTACTTGTGAGATTTTATCATTATACATAAATAGATTTTAATATATTTAATATAAATATGCTTATCTGGAATAAATTACATCTTGTAGAAATGGTTGCTTCTATATTAATTATATTTATTTCCAAAATAAATGTGTGGTGTACGTTTATTTAACCTGTTTCTTTTTGTATCCTACAATGGAAGATCCTTAAAAAACAAATCCGGTTACATTATATTTAATATTTATTCATAAAAAATTCACAAAAGTGTTAAAACAAAATTATATTATTCTGCAAATATTCAGATAACAAATACCTACACGTTCATTTTCCCCCAAAACCGCCCATCAAATTACTTAAATTACCTAACCCCCCGCCTGCGCCAGCTTGAAGTTGTCTCATCATATTTTGTAAGCCAGGCATACCGCCCATCTGGTGTAATACTCTCGGGTCCATCATTTTTGCCATTTGTTGATTCAATTTTGCCATTTGAGCAGGATTTACATTTTTAGCCATGTCACCACCTTTGAATAATCCTTTGATACCGCCCATCTTCTTCACTACAGCTGCAAATTTAGTATACTGTGTTATAAGCTCTTTCACTTCTCGTTCTGTTACTCCAGAGCCTTGAGCTACTCGCACGACTCTCCCATTTTGTTTTGAAAAAATTTTGGCACCGTCCCTGCTGTCCAATTCGTCATCATTCATACTATCCATTATTGTCATTAGTTTCTTGAGACGTGACATGGATTCTTGTTCACTTCCCTTGGACATGAAGTCTTGACTGAAGCCGGGAATCATGCCCTATTCAAAAGAGGTAATATGTTTCAGTAAGGAAACCAAATGTGTGAATAATAGAGAAACAATTTCCATGACAATGTTGGTTTCTAAATTTGTATGTGTACTATTTATACAGCGTGTTATTGAAAGGTACGTACAAAATAAAATCGGCAATTGGTCTCGAAGTATGGGTGCTAAAATTAAAAAAAAGTTCAGGTAAAAGTGTTCTCCTTTTAGAGACAAAAATTATTAAAAATTATGTCAAAATTCGTTGTACGCCTCTGATAAAAAGGTCATCTTTCGTTTCGATAGCAACAAAAGGGTTTCTTCTTTTTTTATTATTGTAACAGTTGCTAGCATTTATTAAAATAAATTAATTTTACCTATTTATCCTTCAGTAGCGTCTAAAAATGTTGGATACGGGTTAATTTTCCCCTTATAATTTTGATACCACAAATTCAGTTTTTCAGGCTTTTTAGACTTCGCGAAAAACTGTCAATTTTGTTGTACGTACCTTTCAATAACAGCCTGTATATATGGCATATATTACGAGTTTTTTAGAGATTTTTACAGCAACAGTGTATCTCCTATAGCTCCTATAATTTTGTGTAATGAGTCTTGTCATAAAATAAACCAGGCAAATTCTAGTTTCCAACAGTATATGGTTGTTAATATTTTTCAACCAAATATACTTTCCTTTGCTCCGCTTTTACTACCAAAAATAGAAGGCCATATGATTTTGACGTCCCACGTTGACAGTGGCGGCTGGTGGTGGGTTTCGATGGGTAAAGTAATTATTTTTATATTTCGTTATGAGTTTGACGGTACTAATTAAAACCTAAGGAAATGATGTGGGATTATACTAAAAGAATAAACTAATTTTATACCGAAAAAATTCTGCAAAGTTTTTCAAATAGGATTTTTTTAGGGGAATCGGGATAAGCTTCTTACAGCTCACGGAAGCAATTAATAAGAGCTTCCCTAACATCTGCCTTTAATAACTTTCTCTTTTTTTCTGTCAGGCATGATTTGAAAATTTGACATTAAAAAAAAACTGACGACGTCCTAATTATTTTCAGTCATATAAACATCAACATAAAAAAATCCCCAAAGAAGGATGCACAGGCATCCAACGTTATCCTCAATTTGACAGGGTTATTTGCAAAGTGAATCATACATACCGCGTGATCACATGATCAGAAACGACTGAGACTGTTGGCAGTATTTTTTAAACAAAAACGTGAACTTTTCTTGCGTTTATGTTGGCATAACGGAAGTAATTGTGACAGATGATATGTCAATCGTGGCATATGATAAATTTAGGTTATGTTTTGAATACATTTTGCAAATTAAAAATGTCAACAACTTGTCAATCTTGACAGCTGACAACCGGAAATTAGCAAATGAGTCCCAAAAAACGTTTTAGTCGTTTTAGTCAAGTGTCACAAACAACATTTTTTTGTTAAAGCTCCTAAAAACACCTCAAGAAATATCTTAATACGATTAATGTGACCAAAGCAAATATTTCTCGAAAATACATAGTGGGCTGCCACCACAGTAACCAGATTGACTAAAAGCAAATAATTGCCATGGCAACTTTTTGGGATTGAGTCCGAAAGACTCATTTTATTGACACTTTTGAGTCCGTAAAATAGTTGTTTTTGGGAGCGCATATAAAAAAAAAACTATTTTCATACACTTTCCTTAATGAGCTATGAGATTGATGAAGATATAATGGCTGTTATACCCTGTAATAGTTTTTTTCAGGGAGAAATTTGAAATTAACGCTAAAAATATTCATTGCTATAAGAACTGATTTCATTTTTTTTTTACACTAAAACGCAGCCATGAAGTTCCAATGATAACAGAATAATAATTTCTCTACTACTTATTTCATTAATAAGACATCTAAAGGCAACCTTAGTGCTTGCATATTATCACAATATATAATTATGTTACTTTTTCTAAGTCTCAGCTTATCAGAAATGAGAATAGTAATTTTATGATCATCACTTGTACTAAAACAATTATTTATAAATTTACCAAACAATTTTCAATGGAGAATTGTTCTCATCAGGCAAAGGTTTTTTGTAGTAACTTCCTCATAAATAGTTCTTACCATGATTTGTGAAAAAGGTCCCATTTTCATTATATTTTGGAATTGCTCATACATGTCTCTAAGTGTGAACTGTCCATGTTTGATTTTTTCTAACAATTCCTCGTTGTCTTCTAATTTCAATTCATTCACTTTATCAATAAGTCCTTCTATGTCACCCATTCCCAGAAGCTTACTAACAAAAGGCTTTGTCTTAAAAGGTTCTAAATCATCTATGTGTTCTCCAGTACCGATATAAATGATGGGGCTATTTGTGGCTGCAACCCTACACACATACTGCTATATATCTATATTTTGACTAGTTTGTGATGTACTTACGCACTAAGAGCTCCACCACCTTTTGCATGACCATCTAATTTTGTAATGATAACAGACCCTACATCAACTTTTTCTTTGAAAGCTCTTGCTTGAGATTCACAAGCTTGACCAATCGTTGCATCCATTACAAAAATAATATTATCTGGTTGCTAAAAAAGCAGTAATACAACAAACGAAATATAAGCTATGTCATACAACTTACAACAGCATTTGAAACTGCCAACATTTCTTCAAATAACGATTCTTCCTGTTTATGTCTTCCACTTGTATCAACGATGATGATTTCAAAACCCTCTTTTTTGAACATATTAACACCATCTTGTGCTATAACAACTGGATCGACTTCGGTGTAACTATAAACATTTAACAAAGAAAAAAATTGTAAAAATACTCATCTAAATAAATACCTTCCATAAAACGGAATCCTAGCTTTTGTGCAATTTTGTTTTACTTGATCATAAGCTCCTGCTCTGAAGGTATCTGCGCACACCAGACAAGATTTCCAATTCTTTTTTTGATAATGATATGCTAGTTTTGTACACGTAGTAGTTTTACCTGAACCTTGCAAACCGACAAACATTATAACATTAGGTTTTCCTTTCAAGGGTTGAAATGGCTTAACACCAGGATCCACCAACTGCAAATTTCGTGTTATTTATACCATTTTCACAACATAAGTTTCAAATTTATTACTTTGACCAGTTCTTTAAAAACGGCACTCTGAATCATCTTTCGCTTGTTCAAACCACCCGCCATCTCATCAAAATCAATGACTGCTCGTACATTTTCTCGCAGTTTTTTGACGAGACGTATATTAACATCAGCTTCCAGCAAAGCTGCACATATTTCTTTAAGCATTCCATTGAGAACCTTAAAAATTGCTCATGTTCATTATAACCTGGACGCCAGCTGTTACACGTTACCTCTTCGTTTATTATAGTCGCTTTGCTTAAAGACTGCAGAGCAGTTGTTATTTTTCTACCTAAGTCTGCTAAAACCATTTTAGCTCTTTTACGCTGTACAAATTAATACTTTTCTCTATTTTGTGAATGTTTATGTGAATCTGTCACGACACCTTCAACAATTTTGACATTTCACGATTAGTGTTATACTGTGTTTACATGTTGGTGGCACTGAATTAAACATGTGTCTGCCACGCGTACAGAACAGCGGTAAATTTAAAACAGACATACTTACTAATAATAATTATTATCTTTGTTCACAGGTCAAAGATTCAACAACACCACAATGTATCCAGAAAAAATGATGCAATGTTATTAGTTATAACTGCCTTCGCACTCCATGTACAATAACTAAACAATCAATCCATTTAGAAAAACAAAATAAACAACGATCAATCACCACACTGTAAAAAAAAAGTGGCCCATGAGGGGATCGAACCCGCGACCTTCGCGTTATTAGCACGACGCTCTAACCAACTGAGCTAATGGGCCGCTGAATACCGCTGTTTTTATGTTATTGGAAAATATTGTCACTATTTTTATTTTATTGCGAAAATCTGAATGCGATGTTATTTTATAAACTTTAAATAACATTCACCATCTACAGGATATTCCTAAAATGCATATAAAATTTGACAATATGAAAGTAGCCGTTCAGCTGACGAACTCTGCATCCTATACACAATCAAGAACTAAAAACATACTTAGACTATAGAATTTTCAGTTTAGTGCACAAGAAACGAGAGTTCGTGTGATGGTAAGCAGGTGCTTACTTCAATTTTACTGTCTATACTGTCTAATCTACAGACATTTATCACTGTGTCAAAAACAGTCCCTCAATTTTTGGGATAATTGAATGCTTAATAATGAAATGTTGTATACTTATTCATAATGGTGAGGAAGAGGTCAAATAAAAGACTGATGCTTTTATCCCAATATGCTTATTGTAGCAAAATGTATAATTATCTACAGAATTATTAAATACAAATAATTACATTTAGGCAATGCCAACGTTTTGAGTTACATCACAATATAAAATCACATCTTGTAAATGCTTTTCATTATGTACAATAAAATTACACCCGCAATAACAAAGATCAAAAACAATTCAATAAATAAACACAAATTATTAATACAACAATCTAAACAAGTACTTAAAAGAATTACCACATAAATTATTTTGTAAGATTCAGGGTTCACAACTGATCAGGATTCAATACTGAATTCTTTGGAAAACGTAACGTATTCACTCTATCTCGGGATTTTGTCAAGAAAGTCCATTTCAATTACTTTATCAATTTTTTCCAAGATCATGTTTAATTTTTTATCTGACTGTCGATCGTTTAGAGAATGGTCACTGCCGCTTACTTTACTACATTCCGTCCTATGCCGATTAGAACATAAACTTAACGTTTTGAAAAAGCTGTGCAGATCTTTAAGTTGATTAATACTGTTCATTGTTAATAATAATTCATTTCTTTTCATTGGTAGAGTTTCTATTTGGGTGTCCGTGAATTTGGTATCCATAAGGTTGGCAATTCTAACAACGTGCGGAATAAAGGAGACACCTGACGATGAATGTAATCTTTCTAAATCATCTCCAACGAACGCCCAACGATACCTAAAACAAAAAAATTAGATCGCATCCGATTTTCTCTCACCTTACGATTTACTTACATCTGGAACTGAGGCAGAGAAAGAGCTGGTAACAACAACGCTAAATCTAGCAACTTAGCTGTAGCCAACTGCAATCTCAACCAATGCGGATGACCTAATGCATGCAAACCATTGTTGCTATTCGTCGCCCAACTTGCATCAAGTGTTGACAATAACTTTATATGATAACTACAAAAACAAACAAAATTAACTTAGATACGGAAAAATCCTCAATCGAATATTAAACAAAACAAATTTTTTATTGATGTTAGACGCTATTTATCCAAGCTCGTTAGTAAAAGAATAATAATTAAAGCATGCTTTTATTAATTATATACCAAGACTTTTATTACCTGTTGCCCGTCCTGTGGATCGTACCCCAACGTGTTGCAAACAAATAAAATTTTGTTAGAAAATAAAAACACTTCTAAAAACTACTAAAGCATTCATTAAATACTAACTGTCATCTCCCACCAATCAACAACAACCCAGAGACAATAAGACTTTCTAAATAATTAGTACAATAACCCCTTCTACATATTAACATACACAAGGAACATTAACAAGAGTACAAAAGTGTATTTGACAATATGTAAACATACAAATAGAACCTAGACGAGGAAAACATAGGAAAACAAGGGAAACAATTCTCACCTAAATTCTTCCGTGTCAGTGAGCAATTCTTGTTCGATTTGTAAAAAAACTTGCAACATTTCGCTAATTATAATAGGCCAAAGTGACGTAATGTGTATAGGACTCATTCTTATTAAAATTACACGAAAACAAAGGAAAACTTGTGCTTGTACACCAGGCACGTTCAGTCTTAAACTACTTGTCAATTGTTCTGAAACAAAAAGTCTTGATTATATAAACTACAAAACATTTTTCAAACAGTGCTACTGAATGACCAAAACGCCATTGTATTAAGAAATTGAACTTGAAAGATCTAGTTATTTTCGTTAAGTATAATTTCAAAACCATTTTTGATAGAAAATGACAAAAATAAATTTGTGGACGATAACCGGTGTCTTACCTTGTATATCTGGCATATACTTGGCATATTGGTCCATTTCACTACAGAATATCACATAAGCAAGTCTCTTTAGTAACTGTGCTCTTTGCTCATATTCCTGCTCTCTTGATGAAAATATACTTAAACTACCACTCTGGGTCAAAGAAACTCGACCTGTAAACACACGTTATAAAAAAGTTAAAATACAAATACACGATCATACTCATCAAATCTCTAAATGTGGTATTGTCGTGGGTCATTAAGTTATCTACAATGATCTTCCAATATTTAATACAAGAGTAATCCATTTGAAACAATGAATTATCCAATAATAATTCAAAAACATCTTTTTTCCACGCTTTCCTAGTGTATTGGTAGCTACTAAGAGCCGCCAATAACTTGGAACACGCATTAAAACTAGGCATATTTTTTGTTGTATGTGTTTTAAGGTATGGAACAATGTTGTACATAAGTGAAGTTAAAATTGTAACAACTTTATCTTTTTCAGACGAACCAAAACATATGTCTAAAATAGGAGCCAAAATTTCTGACAAAACCTACAATATTCAAAGAAATTACACCTGACAGTTCTTGTTTTTCACATACCAATTGTGCTTGTACGCTATGACTGTTTCCAACAACGATATCTGAACTAGTTCCGTTTAAGCTGGGATCAGGTGTTAATTCTTCTTCCTGTTCTTTTACAGCTAGATTTCTTCTTAACCATGTCGTTTGTTCCAAACAGGAACCACAAACTTGAGATACACATTCAATTAACTAAAATTACTAAGTATAATCCCGATCTATACAAAACATTGTAAATTTACTTTGGCGGTGACATCTTGGAGATCTTTTTGGTCTTTTCTTTCTTCCAGTGGACAACATTTAATCATTAATTCGTGCAGTAGTGCAGCTAAAAGGAACTGAGCGGGAGGACTTAATGAACAACCTTCTCTTATTAAGGCGAGTAGTGAAGACCACGCTTCTGTTAACTGAGTTGGTGAAGCATTACGCATATAACTGTAAGAATGCACTCGTTGTGTGTAAAAATAAATTAGAGCAGACATATTTTGTTACCAATAGAATAATTCTAAGACGGAGACATCCAAACAAATGTCGGCACTGAGACCTTCAGTGGGAGGAGGGTTTTTTATCACAGCAGTTACGGTTTGTACTAAATTATCAAGTGGAATGACTCTTATAGCTGATATAAGGTAAACTAAATTGTTTTGGCCAGCATTTGGTTCAGGCAAAACCTAAAATCAAATTCAAAAATAAAGTATTGCACATTGCAACGTAATTATTTTGGGTTTACTAATTTGAAAGTCGACTCAAAGCACAAGGAAAAAAATCGTACACAAAGTTTGTCAAGTATGAATTAAAACAAGTTATTTTTCTACTATATGTTACTAAAATAATTCAAAATCTATTATTTCACAATATTAGGTAGCACAAATGTTGATTTTCTGAGTGTTCTTAAATTACTCGAATTTGATAATTTTTGGGCACATTCCATATCGTTCTTTTTCTACGATTTCAGAATCATTATATAATAATTACTGGTCAACGAAAATTCACTTTAAATCAGGAACGCCTTACTCCGTTTTCCTAAAAATTTGGAAATATAATACTGTTATCATTAGTATTACACTGCACCTATCCAAAGAGTTATAAATCTATTTACAAAAATGTCTACGTCATCACAAAATTTTGTTAAGAGAAAACTCATTTGGAACGTACGCCCGGCACGCTTCTTCACATTTACTTTAACGTTACATACATATCTTTATTTTAACTTATAAGCGTTCTCATAAAAAAAAAGTTAAATTCGCATATCAAATTTTATAATTTTTCGAAAAAGCTGGATTCGTTTTATTGTATTTCAGGGGCGAAGGAGTGCTGTCGAAATAACCTTCGACCATTTTTTTTTTGTTATGTGAATCTGTTTAAGTTACAATAAAAATATGTACGTAATGTTAAAGGAAACGTAAAAAACGTGGTACACGTATGTTTCAAGCGAGTTTTTTCATTACAAAATTTTGTGATGACGTCGGCATCAACATTTACATAATTTCAGTTTGCATGGGTGCAGTGTAATACCAATAATAACAGTATTATATTCCCAAATTTTCGGGAAAATGGGGTGAGCTGTTCCTGATTTAATCAATAAAGTAAATTCTAATTCATTAGCTTTTTAAGTCACCCTGTATAAGTAATTTGAGAAAATACAAATGTATAATATTCACAAGTACAGACTCATTATACTTTCACATTTTCGATAGGATTTATTCGGCAAAATTTTGAGATTAATTTTTTGGGGGATAAACAGATATATTTTGATTACTACCATGCTTACGATAACTTTAAAACGTCTCCAAGATTTCAAAGAATTCGGGTTTACAGTTTCTGATTTGATCAATAAAATAAATTGACTCATTCATTAGTTTTCTTGAGTCGCCCTGTATAAGCAGTTCTAAAAAGTATGAATAGAATGATAAATCACAAGTACAGACTCATTACTTTGTAAAATTTTGAGATGACGTTAGCAATTTTTAAGGGGGTCATAAATGGATAAATTTTGATTAACGATTTACCATGTTTCCGATAATCTTAAAACGTTTGCAAGGTTTCAGAACATTCAGTTTTGCAATTTGAAAGTTAAATTGTAAAATGTTGTAATACCTACAATTTTGATTTTTTTTTTTTACAAAAATCTGGATGGCTAGGATAAAAGCTCAACACGGATTCATAAACTTCAAGTGGAGGAGTATGTTATTTTATGAAATTTAAATAACATTTACTATTCTAACTTTCGAAGATGACGTAATCGCATTGGTTGTGGGGATGCTCAGACAAATTTTGGAAGAAAATACAAACGTGCAAAAATAAATGTAACTGAGGGAAAAGTAATCATCTCAACAAAGCCAATTTCAGAACGGCCTTTTCTGATATTATCAACGCTTTACCAATTTTAAAATCTTCATTATAGGGATATGTGAATTTATACTGTTGTTATTTGTCACCTTTAAATAGACTAATATTTATGTAATCAATCCATTAACTTACCGTTTTGATGTTTGTAAAAAGGTTTCTTCTTTCGTACCATGCAACAGCAATTGCTGCCAAAAAACTGGCTCCGTGATTGACAGAAATCGGGCTCAAAAATTCCAACAATTGTTGTTTAACAACTTTTGAATTTCCATACACACCATTATTATCATTCTCTAAATTAACTATCGTTTGCCACAACTTAGCAACACTAGAAATAATCCTCGGCATATGGCTCAAAATGGTTTTTCTAGCATTTTGATAATGATCGGAATTTTGTTTCGAGTTTGAATGTATATAATCTAAACCAACAGGTGAAAAAAATGCACTAACAAGATTGTTGAAAATTTCTCCTGGATTAGAAACCGGAGTGCTTGAGTTTACAGGTGCATTTAAATGATTAACAGTCTGTGAAGAGTCTAATAAGCAGTAATGGCATAATATTGTAAGAGACTCCAGCTGCGTCACAGCATAATCAGAACAGAGTTCTCCTTCAATTTCTGACTGAGTATACTTGCTTGCTATTTCTTCAATGTTATTACAAATTTGATGAATCACGCTGATCGATATTTGTTTGATATTCTCGCCAAAATAAGGAAGGCATGATGTTATCATATTCAACCACTTCTCTTGTAAGTTCTTCATGTTGTTATGCCGCAATGCACTCATGACAGCGGACAAGAAGATGTTTTGTTGTGGTATTAAAATAGTTGGAGTGTAGTTCAAGTGTTCGCCGGTTGAGGGAGTCGTTGATTCTTGAGAAGATGCACTAACAGGCTTCACTGTTGTAAATACGTGGTATTCCAAAATTATCAGTGAATGGATCAACCTGCAAATAAATTGACACAATTTTCGAGATTCCAAAATAAAACTGAAAATTTATTACCTTAATAGTTGAATTTGATAGGCTTCAACGTGTTCTCCAACTCGGTGATTCGAGTCGTACAACTGGAAGTTGTTAAACAACAAAACTTCTTCAGCAAATGTCATCTCTTCGTCAAAATTTCTTACGGAAGTCAATAAACAGTGAAGCATAATTTTTTGAAGTTTGCACTTAATCAACATATCCCCAATATAATTTGCAAACCCTTTTGTATTCTCAGTAACCATCGTTATGAGGTTTTTAACAATCACATCTAAAATTTTTAAACTTTCTAATTGAATTTTCAAATTGTTACTCAGTTCTTGGTCTGTAACATGAAGATCTTCAACAAAAGGATAAAATGTTCTAGCATAATTCAAACAGATCGAGATAATAATGTCCAAAAACATATATCCTCTGTAAAAATTTTGATATTCGATATTTAGCTCGCCAGAAAAACTGTAGCCTAATAGCGATTTTCTATGACGACCCAAAAGATACAATATATCGTTATTTTTTAAATCTTTAATACCACTTGTGGCAAGACACTTGATGAATAATTGGGGATTGCATAAGATGCAATTTTTTAAAGTTTGTAAAGCGTATAGTATCTGATTGGAATCAAAAATTTCGTAGTATAAACATATATGTGAATGTATAGGATACAAAACGCAGTTCTTGGACGAGTGTACTGTTATTTTAGATCTTAAATCTAAATCTGTGGGTCTAGTAGGAGTGTGATTGTTATCGACTAAGCTACAAACTTTATCTATGATGTCATTAATGATGTCTGTTACTATTACATTATCGTTTCTATTGAAGAATTCTTCTGCGCTTGTGCTTATCTCCAGTTCTGCATGGAGATTGTCTGAATCAGAGATGCAGTACGACCAACTATGGACTAAAGAATTTTCCATTTCGTCGTTCCTACCACTATAGCATTTATCATCGAAACTTTGTGATTTTGGTATTCTTACAATATTTCCATTTATTAAACTATCGTCCTTAATACCGTCGGATATAGGTTCGATACTTTCTAATAATTTATTAGACGAATTAGAAATGAGATCCAACTGTGTTTTGCTCTTTATAAACGAGTCATAACCAGAATCTCTATCCGTGCTACCATCAGGAGGAAGTGACTTATATAACGACTCGTTACTAACTGGTGTGCAATCGTTACTGGATGTTAAGCTTTCACTGGAAGATCTATGCGAATCAAGTTTTGAATATGACCCATTTAATCCATCAGGGTATATCTCTTTAGAACTCAAAGGATTGATTATGACTTTCATATTTCCTTTAGCGCTTTTGTCCATTTTAGGCGTCACCCTCACATTTTTATAATCCTTATTTTTCCTTGTAACAATGTTTAAATCGTCCATAACACTCGTTGTCATATTGACTACAGTTGGGGAATATTTCTTTCCACCTTTTGAAAACGTAAACCATTTTCTCTTTGTGGGTTTTTGATCTTCTAAGTGGTACATAATGTTGCCGTTTTGGCTACTAACAGCGTAAATTTTCTTGGTTTGGTATTCTTCGATTTTTTGATTGTCTTGAACCGTTATTTCACTCTGGACATCGGAATCGTTAATATTAACATGTCTTATTGAGACCCTGGCAGTGTTTGGAGCAAGCAGTTTTACCAATATGGGGTTTACTATTCTGGGAATATCCCCGTGGAGAAGACTGTGCGTCAAAAAAGACTCTGCTAGTAATTGTATGTTTGGTTTCTCTACATTTTGTAAGTTATCAAGAATCTTCAAGAGGGACCTTAAATATAAAGTCTACATTAGTAACACATTCAACGTCAGATTGAACATAATTGAATTCGTCTGACGATGTGTAAACAATTAATTTCTGTTTGTAGTTCGTGTTTTAAAAGTATTAAATTGTAAGTTTCTTTAAAAGTTTTTAATTTTAACGAAATTAAAATAATAAATTTCATATTTATATATAACTATCACTCACCTGTCAAAATTTCTTATGTTTGTCATATTTGGTGGGAGTTTAATATTTAAGTCTCTTCCCAAATGCCACAAGAGTGAAAATTGTTTCACATAATCTGATGTTATATTTTCGTTAGCTAAATATTTGCTGATCACTTGTTCCACGAAACATTTATTATCAAATGTGTTATGAATTTGATACAAGAGGGTCACACATAGTAATAATTGTTTTTGATTACTTAAAATTCCTAGTAAATTCCATAAAATTTGAGACATTTCCTAAAAAATACAAGACATTCTATTTAAGTTACACTACTAGCATATGGAACATAAATGTCATAACATTTTTATGTGTGCATATGAGGAAAACAAGTATTCCACAAGAAAACAAAACAGAAAATTTGTTTTATACTCATAATATTTACGATTGCTTAAGAAATACCTGTACATATATCACCTTCTTTATTATTTATTACCATTTGTCTTGATACAAGGAAAATTACTTAAGCTTCTGATTTTCATATTGTACATTTTTTTATTTTTGCAGTCCAGTTGTGTTAACTTTTTGAGTGAGTTTACAAATTTACAAACAATTACAAAACAAAAGCGTACTCGACCGATATTTTTATTATTGATCGTAAATTTGGCAACGTTCATATTTAGACAATTTTCTAATTAAAAACCATTGTCAGTCAAAGAAAATCTTTGGCCAATTGCTAAATTTTCAGCAAAATCAATATTTTGTTTTTGTTAAGTGAATGTCAAATTGACCTAAGGAATTTTTTAATGATTTTTCTCGAACTTTGAGTTGTAAATTTAACCATGAATCGTTAAATTGGTGCGCCATTTTTTGAACAGCATGTATTTTAAAACTCAACCGTAATGATATATGTACGTATTTTAGAAATTTATTTGTGGAAAATAAATCCTGCATTATATTTGTGGGGGGATTCTGCCAAATTTTTTCATTATCGCTATACGTAAAATTTATGAACTTTACATTAATGACGTGCAATCAACAAAAATCTTCCTCTAGTAGGCTCTGGATTTTTAGCCGTTTTTCATTGCTCATTATAAGTAATTAGTAGACGATGAAAAACACAAACCTTCTCGTTCAGTGCCAACTTGAGGACGCTTTTTGTTTTACGTAATCTCCAATGATAACAGTTTTAGTTTTCACTATTATTTTCTCTTACCTCAATAATAACAGTGTTATCCTCAATGAAACGGACATGTTCGCTTTCAAGGATACCCGTTATCACAATGTTGGTGTTGCAATCATCTTTTTTCATATAGTTTTGATTCTTCGACAGACTGAAAATCTCCAGTAAAGTGTTCATAGAAATTATTTGAATTTCTCTGGAGGAATCTTTACAACACGCTGCAACAACTAAAGCTTGCAACCACGACGGTAATGACGGTTCTACATCGCTGTTAATTAAATTTGGGAACGCCGAAAATTCTAAGAGAACGTTTGATGCAACGTTCATTGCAGATTCAAACTCGCTCACGGCGTTTTCAGGTGCTATATTCATCGCTGTTAAAATTTCGGGTTTCGTTATTATAGTATTAAAATCAACTGGCGTAAACTCACATTTCCTTTGCAAACATTCTTCTAATAATTTTATTAAGCGATTGGTTCTTTCATCTTTGTCACAAACCAACTTTTCTAAAAAGCTGTTCAAGTTGATTCCAGGCAATATTTTTGAAGTAATAAATGTTACATAAAACTGTTTATATTCTTCTAAACAAGTGATGAAATATTTGTTTTCGATTTTGGCCGTCTTCACTGTTACTGTTTCGATTTCAACTTTTGGCGGTTCGGGTTGTTCGTTTAAAATCAAATCTGGTACTTCATTTTTATTAAGTTCGTACAGCTTCGAACTTGACTTTGATTTCTTGTTTTTTGATTTCTTTTCTATCTTGGGGCTTGTTTTGTCTTTTTTCTTTAACATTTGATTACTGTATGACCTCTCTCTGCTGCTTTCATCTATAGTCAATTCGTTTTTGTTAAAGTTTTCGTTTATTTTCGAATCCGATTTGCTCTTTTCTAGAGCTGTTCTCGGTTCTTCAATACTCATCTCACTCTCGAGTACAACCGATGTTTCTAGTGATTTCTCAACCTCAGAATTAACATTTAAACTATCGGTCTCTGCTTCCGCCTCTTTGATTTGTGTTAAAGTGACCGGCTGTATTTTCGTTAAAATTTTTGTACATAACAATAAACTTTGTTCTACTTCGTGATGATTAATTACATCAATATTTATCCTTAAAGTTGTAATTATTTTGTTAAATAAATTGGGCAGAATATTTGACGTTGTTTCGGCATACGATTCAATAGGTATGACGTCCAACAAGAAATCAGTAAGTATACAAATTTCCAAAATATGTGGAGATCCTGCACCAATTTCGTTAACTTGACATCTGTCTCTAGTTTTATAGTTCTTTATGTTGGCCACAGAGGTTGCATATAATTTTTCAATATATGACCAAATATAATAGTTCTGAAGTGTATTAAACAAAAGATTGGCATTTTTTACTAATTCTTGGCATTTTTTTGTAACGAATTGTTTGTTTAACGTGGTTTCGCTTGCGTTCTTTAAGCTAGTTAAATCACCATTAAAAGATACGCACCTAACGGAACTATTTTTCTGTTTTTGCTGTTGCAAGCAGGACAGGTATAGCGTTCGAAAAACGTCATATAAAATACTATCCAAAATAACAGGTCCTATTTGTGGTTTGTCAAATAACGATGTCAATAATCTGTATGGTTTTATATCGATGGGTATCTCTGTACTACTTTTTCGCAAAATTATCCTTATAGCATCAATAAGTAAATCGTATGCGATGGTACTATGTGATTCAGAAACATTTTTACTGTCGTTTTCCACCATCACATGAGACGCATTTCCATCACTTTCAACAAGCCATGAATAAAGTCGTCTGAAAATATACAAAATAGTTAATAATGAAAAAAATTAATACGCGTACATTTGCTACATTTTTGCTGAAAAATTTCTGCTGACAAGTAATTTTTAAAGATATGAAATTAAAAATACCGAGACTTTTTTTATTATATAAAGCTGGCTACTCATAAAAACTTTTATTGCTTAAAAACAATATTCTATAACAGGAATAAAGCGCTTTTGAACGAAAAACTAGTCTATAAATAGCGGTGATGCGTGAAATGAAACCTCATATAATTTTAAAGAAAGATTAACAATTCCGAAATTAATGTATATCTCGGTAACCCATACAATAATTTGATTTTTATTGCACTGCTTACGTATCAATTCAATATTTCTTAGGCAACCATATGTATTCACATACGGGTTCTAAAATTCGGTGCCAATTAGATATTTCCATGTCATAACTAAGTAATTTGAGCCAAAAAGGGACACAATATTTCTATCTTTCTTGACGTATCAGAAATGACCACCGGGATTTTAAGGCCGCCTCTCCACCTAATAATTTTGAATTGTTTTAAATTTTCAAGTGCAATATAAAATATAAATACATATATTTGTATTGCAATTTTTTTAGGTACTGTTTTTGTGACTTATTATGTTCAAGATATTTTAGATGAAAATTTTTAACATTGTGTTGTTTTATTTATTATTTTTAAAATTAAGAGTTTTATTACTTTTTTATTCTCTTTTTAGTGTAAATAGGAATAATGTTACAGTAGCTTACGCTCAAGAAGTAAATAGAACTAATTTATAATTTTCTATGGTTTATGAAAGTACAGCTAATAAAAAAATGTTTGGCATTGAAACTTATGCTTTTCGTAACCATATTTTTCAATGTTACGAAATCGTCACATGGTTGGCTGCATTATTTATTTAACGCTGTATGTCGTTAATTTAACGCCGCAGTAAATTCGACAACGAAGGTAACACCACCTTAGTTGGACAAAAACAACTACTATATTGCAAATCATTAATTTACCTATTGAGCGACATGTCCCGCCTTAGAATTGTCGATAAAGCGGCAGTCACTAAACGCACCATATCAGCATACAATAGTTGTTTATTATGCATTGGAAAACAAACCATTAAGAGATCTAAAGCTGATCTTTGCACTAAAACACTGGAATCTTGTACAGCTGCACATAAACCACAAACCTTAAAATAAAATTTATAAGACTAGTCGTTAATAATGCTACATGACAAAATACCATGAGATCAATATCATGTCCCATTAAATATAGCTGATCTTCCATTGGTAATTTTCTACTGTAATGTGCCAGCACATAACTAATTGCAGGTAATCGTACTGGACTATTGTTTGTTACACATTGCCAAATGCAAGTATAAAAATACTTAGAACCAACCCCATCGCATATATTTTCCAACAAAGTATTGGTTCTAGAATACAAGAAATAATCATAATGCAATATTTTAGTCACCCAATTGCTACCTTTCAAAGTGATCTGAACCTGTTTCCAGTCCTGGTAAAACACCACTAAGAAATCCGCTAAGAGCAGGTCGGAGTCTTTCTCGCAAAGGTACAAAATGAGACTCGTAGATTGTTAACAATGTTGGCCTAATGTTCATCGCCGCATGGCCCAGTAGCGGAAATAAACCTAAAACAATGGAAGTACGTGGTAAATGATTAACAGAAGAAATTTATAACAATAATCGAAAAAAATCACAGCCGGTTCTTTGAGGTAACACAAAAGTTAGTTTTTTTAAATAACTCTATAACACCACAAATTGCCTTTTCTTAGGCTTATTATAATTTATTTATGAAATTCTGACGCGCCGTTGCCACGTTGTTCCAATTTTCTTGATTTTTTTTGCAATGTAAAGACAAAAATTGGTCGAGAACATAGATATCGATGGAACTTCCCACGCGTCTGAAGTAGAAGTCCAACAAATCCTGCTTCTTTGAAAAATTATAAATTTTGACTCTACCATTTTTGTTAAAATTAGGTAGATTTGTAAACCACAAGTACCGAAGTATATTATTTCATTCAATTTGGGTAATGTTAATGATGATAAAGTTTGGTTAGCGTTTTACCATCCACATGGTATTCCTAATATGCATACAAAATTTGACAACAATCAGTCCAGTAATTTCGAAGATTGTCTGTCTAATAAAAATCGGCACAGACAAACAGATAGACAGACAGACGGACGGACAGACAAATAGAAGGTCGGAACCAGGATAATACTTTTTTCGTACTCTAGGGGTCATAAAACATCGACAAAATATGAAACTGACAAGTCGCCCGATGTATTCGATTAATATACTTAGCTTAAGCTCGGCAAGTAAATAACGCAACATGAAGGGGTATTTATAAAAAATAAAAAATATATTTTAAATGTCGATATTGCAGTTTTTTCAAACAGAACACTGTATTTTATTACTGTATCTTATTCTGTTTTTATCGTTTTTTTTTTAAATAATAATTTATATACAGTGGGAAAATAGCAAAGCCTTTCTCTCTGTCGTCATGGTGCATTAGTAAACAACGTTAATGGCAGTTTGGGGTTTTTCCAATTTGCGGTATGGTGTGGTTTTTCTCGCAGAAATGAATTTAGAATGGAAAATCCTGTGGAAATGGGTGAAGATTCAAACATAAAGTCGCGATCTTTTCTATAGAACCACTCCCTAGTGTAAATTTTCAAAATTTGTTTGGTGTAAGTGACCTTGACGGGTTTCTGGGGGATAACATATGTGTCAAAAATTTGACAGGATAGATGGCCCCATTGTCAATGTAGATATTTTATTTTAATAAATAGATAAACAGAACATACAGTCTGCACGGGATACAGTGCGGCATAGCTGAGGGCAACCGAAACATTCGTGTTGTGCTAGTTTCGATTGCCATGTCAACTACCGCTACCAACCGCGTTCGGCGTAAAGTACTAGGTGACAGGGCTACCAACTTGACTTTTTATCGAGTGGTTCCGTAGAAATGACCGCTACTGTAGAGAAAACTGCTAACACAATCTGTGCAGGACTTTTGCCAAAAAAGTCCAAAGAACGCTATACTGCATGCTGTGAAACTTTCAAAAAATAATGCAAGTCGAAAAACATAAATACTTCGGAAAAAATGTTAGTGACGTGCTTTGGAAACCGAAGTAATTCATTACAATCGCCCGGAAGTGTATGGTCTAAAATTCTGAATATTCGATGCTAAAATAAAATTATTTTCTTATTATGTAATATCGATTTTACTTAGTAAGAGCGGGATAATTCACTTCCCGCCTACTCCAATAAAGCGCATCTCTTTGTTCATGTCTCTATAAAATATTGTAACACAGATATTAAAAATAACTCTATTAGCCAAATACACTGACGTCATCCGAGGTCATCAAGATGGCAGCGTTTGACAACTAGCCGGTTTTCTCATAAGAGTCAATGCTAATATTTTCGGAATTCATTTAAATTTGAGAGTGTGTCAACTGTGTTTTTATAGTTTGGTAATTTTGTTACAGTTTCTAGATTGTGTAGATATCTGTAAAACGCACCATAACGTTTGAATATGCTTAAAAAATAATGTTTTCCAATGTGATGTACAGGTTAACTTCGCTGCATCTTATATTATTTGTTTTGCAAATTAATAAATCTTTGTTAATGTACATCAATGTTTTTTAAATACACTAGCATCTTAATATTATAATATTTTGTATTTTAGGAGAAAATGCCTAAATTTTATGCTGTTATGGGTTGCGCGAATCAAAGCACCAGAAATGCGGACAAATTTTATTTTCCTTTCCCAGCAATTAGCAACAATAAAGGTAAATATATACAGGATGGGGAAAAAAGGCGGAAGCTTTGGTTAAAAGCCTTGAAACGGGTGGATTTAACGAAGCCAAAGTAAAGTATTCCTATGTTTGTTCGGATCATTTTATTTTAGGTACAGTAACTACCTATTAGATTTACAGTTTCTAATAAATTACTACATTGGTGCTCTTTTAGGCAAACCCGCAGATTTGTCGGATGTGGACCATCCTGATTATGTTCCATAACAAAATTTAGGATATTAAAATAAATCCACTCATAATACTTGTAATGTTGAAAGACACAGTCGTTTAAAAAAGAGAAAACTGAATAAATGCCTGTAGAGTTTTGAATGCACGAATTTCATTGTGGGTTATTTTATTTATTCCAAAAATAAAAAAGTTTAGAATGGTATTCATTGTTATGGTAGAGAAATCGTCTAAATACAAATTAAAATCACTTGCACTCATTGTATAAGGATCTACGCCGTTTAAATTGTTTAACTTTTGTACATATCTGTTTTTCTCTTTGACAGAAAGACATCGTGCATAATCACTTAAATTCTCCATACTTTAAAAACAAATCACACACCTTCACTTAAACCCGTCACATTAACCTCAAACGAAAATATTAATTTCCGATTTACCGCTTAAAACACACGGATGTATGTATTTTGGGTGACGAGGAATTCAGACCAAGACAGCGTTCTGTATTTTTATTTTTATTATGGTTTTTTTAACTCAAATCGCCAAAAAAAGCACCCAGATACACAGAAAAGATATGAAAGAAGCTATTCACGTGTTTATTTTCTAGATAAATACCCACACTTTTAAATAAAATGCGAAAATGTTAACATTATCACTTATGGAGTTTCACGGCGCTTGTCAAACGCTGAGTTCCCGCCACAGCGTGACGTCACGTGTTATTGCCTAATTGCGATTTTTTCGTGAAACCTTGTATTGCTAAAAAAACAAGAAATTGGAATAACGTGGCAACATCGCATTGGAATTTCAAAAATAAATTATGATAATAAAGTCTAAGAATAACATAATCAGAAAACGTAAACTGCATATATAGGATGTCCCTTTGGGGAAAAAAAATAAAGTACAGTTACTTTTTTGGCACTCTATTTTTGTATACTAACAAAATTTTATAGTCCAATACTTTCTGCGCCAACAATGTTCGAACAACCCTTCAGTGGTAAAATTTTATTAGACTACAAATTAGTGTGTTAAATAATAACTACCAAATGGACAACGCCAAAACCGTTCAGTGTAAGTATACGCAAATAAATACATCGTATCCCAGCGTGTATTCTCTGTTAAGTCGCTCACTCTATTTCTGTCACTAAACAACAGTGCGCAACTTAGCATTGTGAAACGCTATTACAGTATTGGGAAGTTAATACATGTTAACTTTTTCGTTATACACGTCAAAATCAATACATAATTATATATATAAATCCATCAAAAATGGTTTAAATCTTTCGAAAAATTGGTCAAAGAACTAATAACTAGCTAAGAATAGTATAATGAGAACAATATTTTTGTATAACAATAATAGTCGACATTAATTTCTTTGCGTAGTTAGTTTTTTGACCATCGAGAGTGAAATAAAAATAAAAGTAGTTTGTATGATCTTAGTTATCAATTTAATATTCGTTAAAAATATGTTACATCAAATTAATTATAGTATTTGATTTAAAAATATATAATTTTGCATTGTATCGCTAACACCAAAGATGCTTTGTACCAGGGTCCTCTTTAAATATTAAGTTCAATATATTTATACGACACACACAGCGTAACACTAATGACTAGAATACAGTATATTCAGAATTTCGGAAAATTGGGTAAACGTTTTTGATTTTATTAATACAATTTTTTTTTCATTCACTAATTATTTTGTAATATCCTGTATAAACAAATCTAAAAAAACGTGGATACATTATTAAACCACAAATAAAGGAGCATGCAAAGGCAAAATATAACAACTTGCCAGATACTGACCCAGATGCTACCCTTTTATCATCAATTAATGTGTTATTTAAATATTAGACCCGAAATAAGTAACTAGATAAATACGAAAAAACTAATAACCAATAACAACATTTAATTTGTAATTACTTTTAATTTTCAATATTTTTTAGTTCTTCATGCTATTTACATTACATGATCGTTTATACTGTTACAGTACTAAATAACATTGTATACATTTTTAATTATAGCACCGGTAACCGTCAAGATCAAAAATTTATTGCAGTACACAACAAATTTTAAATAATTAAACCATAAATATGTACAAAGATAACAATGGCTATTAATTGTTTGATGTCAAAGTGCTGTTCACTAACTAGAGATTCAATGTTTTTGCAACACACATAGCAACATTAAGTGACTTTATTTGTCGCTTTCCCACCGGAAAAAGTGCATTCATTTGTTTCACTTTGTTTAACATGCGTGGAAAACATATCGAATGTAACTTCAGTTAACAGTTTTTTACAAAGCTTTTTCAACGTTATAAATGGAGAAAATTTAGCGTGATTTTAAGATTTTAAGCAAACTGTCCAATCACTATCAATGTGTATACTCAATTTTTCATTTTCTGTTAAAATATATCCTAGGTAAACATGTAATGTTACCATAGTAAAATACTGGTTTAGAGTTTAAACAGCATTTCCGTCGGCCTTTGTTTAATAGCACTTTTTTCAACAACTTTTTACAGACAATTTAATTTTGGTATCAGTACAACAAACCAAAACGTTACTGCGTCCTGGAATTTGGGGTCGCAAGAAAACTGATTTATTGAACGCCTGCATTATTTTATTATCAAAAAGTAACTGATACGCCGTTT